GAGTTGCTACTGTTCAAGATCCTTCCTTGCTCCAGATGTAGAACCGTCCAGTTCTCAGCGCTTCACAATTGATCTGAGACACGACAATTGTGACACAATTCATGGACATGCAATTCATTTCCACAAGCATCACTGGACAAAGGACAATTTCGGCAATAGCTCAGGTTTCCCACAGCTTTTTCCCCCAATCGAAACTTGCTGGAATCTTCTGGAACCTGCAATTGCAGCTAGTGATCTGCAAATGGCAGAATAATTACTAATTCAAATTTGTCCTGTGCGAATCACATCGGTGAAACATCAGTGCTTGACCGGCAACTGGCTTTTGCAGGTTGCAGATTCCTCTGACACACTGCCTTTGGACTCCGCCAAAACCACATCATCACATTTGCAGTCGTGCGAGATCATCTCCAAGCGCTTGTAGTCCCATGCCGGCAGGTAGCTTTCAAAGTGGAACAGCATGCAGCTGAGGCACCTTTTTTCGTCCACATAGCACTGAAGGGATTCCACATAGCCCTCCTTCTTGGGATTCGACATGATCGTCAATCAAAATTTCAAACCAAATTGATCTTGGGGGACAATGGCTGCAGCTGAAGCAAGACAATTCTAACAGCAGGCAAACCATTCCAAGACTGGATGTAAGAGGCTTTCACTGAAGACTGAGGCGGCTGCATGGTGATGGTTCTCTTTGTCGCAAACAACCTGACAGAATTGAAGAATTGTTCATTTCTTGGCTTGGCTTTCAACCGCAACATGTGCCATGCCAGTTGCCCACTCATGCACTGACACAGATTTGTCAGGCAAAGTTTCACTGGATGACTTTGCTGTGCCCATGACACTGTTTCCTTTTGCACTCTGATGGTTCATAGAGTTGTACAGCACCATCAGGTTTTTATAAGGAATCTGCAAGTCAAGCAAACTCTCAATTAATTGTGTACAACACTGTCACTTCATTGTGCACGAAACTGTCATCACAATAAATCAATTGTGTGTTTTGAGTCACAGAGGCAGAGGTAGGCGCATTGTCAGTGTCAGTGACCTAATTGGCAAAAGGACTCGACACCGATTCGAGGAGTCAGAGTTTCAGGCCGGATCGTGCTCGTCCTCGGATTCAGAGGACTGTTCCAACAGCATGTGTAAGTATTCGTTCTCTGAGTCTGATGTTTCGTCACACACTTCATGTCTGTACATTGGCTCATCATCACTCATTGCATGGGCTTCGTCTTCGTCCTCATCCTCTATATCCTCATTTTCGGGAACTTTGTCTTCCTCTGGGTCTTTATCCTCTAGATCCTCATCTGCTTTACAATGATAAGGGTCCAGTGACTCCTCAGACTCTGACGACTGCATCAGAACCTCGTCCAACTTCAGAGCCATTGCTTCCAATTCTGCCCGCATTTTTTTGTTTGGGCAAGAGTTCTCAGGGGTCCAATCCCGAAAAGTAAGGAGCTCGACCACGTTTGAGAACGGTTGTGTGTAGCCAGTGGCTCTCGAAAGCATGAAAACAGATGAAAACCACCCATGCAAGAATCCGATCATCGTCAAATCTCGTGTAATTGCCGGCTCGGCACAATGTAGAAGCCACTTGATGTTCTTGTTATAATGCTTCCTGGTCTGATCCGCCTTGCGCTACAACTCCTCCGAGGCAAAAAATTCCGGAGACCATACCCAAAGAAGCCCCTCAACCAGGTCTCCAAGTTTCTCTTCGCCCCAAGGATAGGCTCTGCGAAATCCAGGCAGAAGCAACTCCAACGCCATTGTGTATAACGCATTCCCAGGATCATGCGGTTGCCCATTGTAGTACAGGCAGCCTCCGTGAGATATGTGTTGTCGAAATTGTGATGGGTAGTCAGCCAAGCCCTGGAACACACTCCGAAACCTGCGCTGAAGTTGGCCTGAATCTGCTCTCAAAAGATCAATCATCTGGGCCACAAATATTGTTGCCGACCGCACTTCACGTGGATCCACATACAGGTTCTCCATGACATTGCTACAGTCACGGCAACAATTGAAGTAGTGCCGAATTGGCGTTTCAGCTGATTTCTGGTACCACTGGGATTTCCTCCAGTATGAATGAGGCAGGCAACGCCTGCAAAAAGGACACTCCATCGCCACCAGGAAAAGTCACATGCGAAAAAATGCTATTTGCGTTTGGCCTCAGCAGCCACCTCTCAATTCTAAAATGCTGCAATTGTGACAATTGAGACTCAGTTGTGAAAGTGTTCATCCAGTAGCATGGGAATCCAAAGCGTAACTACTGTTCGGAGCAGTTCTGAACTTTGACACCAACAGCTGCAAAAACATGAATCTATGACCAGACGACTGACTAACACAACATTTTCATCGACAACTCACCAGTGAGATCGATGTCACTGCCTCCTGCAACTCGAGGAACTCCAGCACCTGAGCACATTGGAAGCTGTATTATATGATATTATATTATGTGTTTCTGTGTGTGTGTGTGTGCTTGGGTGATAGCATGAATTAACTTCAAACTGACTGACACGGAAGTGTCAGAGTCTGTGTGAGTCGAGGAGAATGAACCAATCAGAAGAGCTGGAATCAGCTGAGTAGATTCACTCAACCAAATCACCAGCTGAGTATGGTACTTAGTGTACGAGCACCAGAAAGTGCCATGGATGAAAGCTCAACATCTCATTGGAGCTTTCATCTCAGTCAGCCGGGCAGTCAGCTCACTTCAAGTCGGGTCGAACAGTTCCAGTGGCGGCCGCTCTGTCGAAGCGGATGGCGGGTGTGGCTGGGACATTTCGTTTCCTGTAGCCAGCACAAGCTCACTACTTCACCACATTTGAGTTTAAGGACTTGCACTGTCCCCGAACAAGGACCAGTTGCCCACACATTGTCTCAGCCAGCTCGTACTCTGTTGTCTCTCACCATGGCGCATCAGCATGTTCATCCTTGGCACTACAGATATTGATTGATTCATGTGAGTCTGAGTCTTAACGGGATGTAATGGTGCACAATGAACCAATGAACAGTTCAAGCGGCATGAGCTTGACCTGGCGCTGCAATGGGAAATCGTGATGGGTGGCCACGTGGAAGAACTGGTCCTTGACATCTTCATGGATATAGTAGTCCTCCAAGATCTCCAGCCTCAACTGTTTCATATAAACAATACAACACTGTAAACTGCATGCAAATCCCTGCCAGGCTGCATCACAGGGTTTCTGTCGATGGTAGGGACTACTTCTTCATCGTGCTCCTCTGCTTCCTCCTCTTCCGCCTCCTGGTCGATTTGCTCCTGCTCAGCCTTGTAGGGCTCCGACTTCTCAGGAAGACTCGGATTCCACGCTGTGAGGTCCTCCAGCGCACCGGCAGGTGCCAGTGGAACACTGTGCTCAAGTGTTGACATGAATTGAAGTTCCACAAGTTTTGGCTGCAGCCTCTCCCACACAGCATTCGCCAAACTCGACACCATGTTCTCAATTGAAGATCCAGCTGAACTGTTGCTCGGCAGTGCAGCACCACCACCTAGGAATGTCTGAAAGCATTCCCCAACAGCCATCTCACATGCCTTCATCATCGGAAGTGTTGGGTTTGCTGGCGCCGTCGGAGGAAAGGCAGGTTGAACTGGATGTGTTGCTGCCAGACGTGCATCCCTTGGATGTAACGGACGAGACTTGGGCGGATCTTTCGGTTCCGGCACACCCTGTGGAGAATCAACCTCAACCACTGACACTGGCGGCTTTGGCGGCTTTGCAGCCGGCTTTTTCGGCTTTGCAGGCATGCTTTTCGTAAGAGGTGCTGGCTTTGTTTTTGCCGTTGCCCCTACTTCTGCTGATGCCCATTTTTTTGCTGCCGGTCTTGCTTTTGGTGGTGCTCCTGCTTTTGGTCCTGCCCCTGGCTCGTCTGTTGATGCTGTTGCGCTGGCTTTTGTTTTTTTTGCTGGTGATGCTTTTGGATCATTGGTCCACTCTGGAGCGGGCACTGGTGGCCTGGCAAAAGCGGGAGTAGCAGAACTGGAGGATGCAGGATCACCACCCCCTCTTGTGGCGTCATCGACATCTGTCTCCGGGATCTCAAGCGGAGCAGTTCGTGCTCTTTTGGCATCTGGCAGCACGTCAAATGCTTTGCATTGAAGACGACACACACACACACACACTCAATTGAGGATGTCAATTGTGACTGAAATGTTATTATTTATTCTTGAAGCTGAAGCGAAAATGTAGTGTTGCTCCCATCTGCTGCTGCTGCAGCAGTTCCTCTTGACTTCGTCTTCTGATTTCGCTTCTGAAGCTTCTGAAATGTCCTGGAAGGTAGGTCCACGGGATGTTCCTGCTTGTCCTTGACCATTCTTGTTTTCAAGTTCCTGAGTCAAAGTGGTACGTGTTGGCACTACAGGGCAGACTGCAAATCAAATCAATGCGGAATTCGAGCCCAGGCACATCTGAATGGAAGCCCAATCAGTCTGATTTGCAAATTGGTCGGTCCATGTGTTCCAAGCATTTTGCAATGCTGCCTTCCATTCATCCGACGACCAACCAATGGACGGCAGGAGATGCTTCTGCTTCCTGATGCACACTTTGGCAGAACCATGGATTGCGTTTAAATATTTACATATTACAACCTCAAAACAACATTCGAAAATCTGAAGCTGCTCAGCGACACGTGATGGCCATTGGCGAAGTCGATAATGTGCTGTTGATCGGCAGCGATGGCACTGTAATCTTCCTTTCTGTGCCTCTGGACTAAAGTGTCGAACCATGCGACGCATTCGATGCCACAGACCTGCACTGACAGCTGATATACTTACAAAAACTAGACAATTGAGTGTCACCTGGACCAATGAGTCAGTTCAGCACAGCGACTTGGAAGAGAGGCATGACCAACGCAATCATGGCACACGTCCTGTGCCATCCCGCCGAACAGCAGATCCTGACAATTGAAGGACCACATAGGAGGGTTATAATTATCCTAGTCCCTGAACCTAAAAAAAACCTCCAAGACCTTCAGCATTCAAAGACTCGGGAAGCCTGGGCAACTTGTCGGGAAAATTGAGGATGAAGTGGAGCGTCTTGAGCGCTGCGGGATGACGATACACCTCGGTCATTAGGGTGAATTCTTATTAAAATTAAAATTAAATATTATACAACTCGATTCATGAAGCAACACCTGTTCGACCAGGCACCTGTTCCATGATATGCTGGTATAGGCCACATTCTCTGCCAAACCTTCCTCCTTCGGCCTCCCTTGGCTTCCATCCATGACTGTCACTGTCACTGCCCTCAATTGCCAATTGAGTGAAACTGAAATGAATGAAAAATGTACAAATGTCATGAAGCTTCGACACGTGCATTGACTGCTGCAAGCGAACCTCCCATTTGTTAGAAAAGTTACATTCCCTGTCCAACCTCTCCAACAAGTCTGCCATCTGAGGTGATGGACGATTTCCATGGGCGGCAACCCCATAACCAACGATCACCACTCTCTTCGGCCAAACGTAGGTTTTGCCGCCCAGGAAAACTGACCTCGAAGTGTTGGAGCAGAAAGCAGCTGCCGAAGAGCTCGGGTTGTCAATAGAGCTCACATCGTCATCAGTAGCATCAATAGCCGATTCGTGGTCTCTTGTTTCTCTCGGGGTCCTTCCACTTGCGTCCCCAATCGTCCGAGTCGTCTTCTTCTTTGCCTCGCCCCAAGTCACCGGAACTTTTCGTTGAGGCGTCTGCTTTCTTGCTGCCGTAGTTCCCGACATCGAATTGGCTGTATACTATCCCCAAGCTTTGATTGTGCCTCGAATGAACACGGAATTGTAATGATGAAAGCTTAAGCGCCAAAAAAAAGGGCTGCATCAATCTTTGCCAAAGTGCTCTCTAACGTTCTTGTTACAGGCTGACAGAATCCAGGCTTCTGGTTTCTGGATGCCGTCTCTTCCCCGTTTGAAAAATCTCCTCAAATGTTGTTGCATTGAAACAATGACATGTCAGGTAGCAAATTATTCTCAATTGGAAATTGTCTGAAATGTACTGCAGGTGTCACAAGATCACCAGCCTTTCTCGGGCAGAGCAAATAGAGCAAGTAGATTGCTTGCTGTGCTTTCCGGAGATCCTGGCCATGCTCCTCGAGACACAATTCCTCAGGGAGATGCTGGAGGGCCACACTCGACATAGCACAACTTGAGCCAGAACTGCAGCATTAGGTTACAAGGGGCTCACAATCAATCACCAAGCAAGCTGACACACACACACACACACTCACTGAGCCTTCCGCGCAAATATCACTCACATGCCTTCTGAAACGCCTTCACCTGGCAAAATGCAAATTTCATGCCAGCCCTGCCCCCCCCCCGGCTCTGTCAAAACATGCCAGGCAGACCACTTGAGCCAGAACTGCAGCATTAGGTTACAAGGGGCTCACAATCAATCACCAAGCAAGCTGACACACACACACACACACTCACTGAGCCTTCCGCGCAAATATCACTCACATGCCTTCTGAAACGACTTCACCTGGCAAAATGCAAATTTCATGCCAGCCCTGCCCCGTCCCGGGCTCTGTCAAAACATGCCAGGCAGACCTTGCCATTGATGCTACCACAATAGTTATACTACCGCAAATCATGCTACCACAATTAGCGCTACCACAATTGTTGCTACCACCATTGACAAATTGATGCTACCAGAACTGATGCTACCAGAATTGATGCCACTGCAAAATCGAATCAACCAAGCCAAGCAATGCCATGCTGACTACCACAGTTGCTGCTACCATAACTGATGGTATCAGAATTGATGCCACCGCAAAATCGAATCAGATGCCACCGCAACAATCGAAGCAATCAAGCCATGCAATGCCATGCTGACTACCACCATTGACATTGATTGATGCTACAAGAATTGATGCCACTGCAGCATCGAATCAACCAAGCCAAGCAATGCCATGCTGACTACCACAATTGATTGATGCTACCAGAATTGATGCCACTGCAGAATCGAATCAACCAAGCCAAGCAATGCCATGCCGACACAGTAACGGCCTCCCCAGCGTCCTTGCAAACACGAGTGTGCTCTGACAGTCATGCGGACTGGAGACTTCTTTAAATGCCACCCCCATTCGGCCAAGATGGGGTCACCCTGCTGAGTATGCGCCGGCAAATCAGATGCGGAGCGCTGAAATCCAATTGCCTTGCATACCGGCCCGCAAGAGGACAGGTCATGCTCGTCATCGAGTGCACCGGAATCGCTGCTCAACGCGCCGGTTACTGAAGACCTGTCAATGAGGCACAGCATAAGATGCCATGCGGGGCCATGCCGGCAAGCAGCAGTGATCGAAGTTAATACTTCGACCGTGGTGTGGGTACGTGGCATAGTATTTATTAATAGTAGCGAGGCCTTCCCTGCAATCTGTGTGCATTTCACCCCGCGGCGGACACACCACCTGGCTGGACAGGCGAGCAGCACACAGAGTAAATCCCCAGCGCCCGGCCAGCGACGCCGTCCCGCACGGATCAAGGACCCATTGCTCACGTGGTCCGAGCCCGACTGGAGCGGTCTCCAAGACCACTCTGAGCTTGGGCGTGCAGGATGGGTAGGCCGAGTCGAACCAAGCCAAGCAAGCCAAGCAAGCCAACCACGCAACCAAGCCAACCAAGCAGTGGCACGTGACAAAGGACCACGTTTCAGCTTCCAACACATCCGGCTTGGACAGAAGCGAACACCATCGCTCAATACATCCGGCTTGGACAAATGCAAAAGTGTTTGGCAAAAAAGGGTTTCCTCACGCTGGCTTCCCAGTGTGCTTTAAAATGTTTTGGTCAACGGCCGTGCCCCCGGCACTGAAATTCCTAATAAAATACATAAATAAGCTAAGACTACAACAGCTTGAAACCTTAAATCGGTATATTGAACTGCACTATTGAGGAAATTGGTTTTGGCCTTCAAACCCCCCTGATCCAGCCCCCAAGGATCCAACCCTCAAAACGAGTGTGTGGATTTTGCGAGGCTGAACTCGATGATTAATGATCGATTCATCGAGTTTGATGAGCGAATCCACCGATTCAACGAACAGCGCGCTGGATCTCTATCCATGCAGCTTGCTGATACGATTCGCCATCTCAAGCACTACCCGGATGCGATACAGCAAATTCAGATCAACATCTCGAATGCTGAGGCGCGTATCGCTGATCTCGAACAGAACGCATCTCACCGAGTTGAGGTGATTCGTTCGGAAATGAGCCGGGCTCTCTACGATCACAAGGAGAGTAACCGAGTTTTTATCGATCAGCTCACCGCGCGTATTCAGCATCTTGAGGGCGTTCACGCCCGCAGGAGTGGTTCTGATAAGTCGACTCCTTCGCGCCCGGAACGGACGCAGTTCTTCGACATCAGTGACCATGATGGGGAAATCCCACGTCCTGCGGACTTGCCACCAGTTCCTGGTGCTCTATTCCCTGGCGGACATTCTACAGCCATTCCGCGATCTTCGCTGTTAGGTCCGATTGATCATGGCTCTCCGCCGGGGTGCAATGCTGCGCCTGCTGAAAAGGCCTCAACGGTGCACTCCCAGACGAGTGGCATCAATCTCGATGAGATTTTGAGGCGTGCACAGCAACGAGTCGCTGACGAACGTCTTGGAGAAAGTCGTGGGCAAAATAATCCTGCTGAGCCCGTTCAACAGAATTATGGCCAAATGTCAGCCTCTTTTTCGGGAAGATCGCCAAATCCGCCAGTTCCTCCCGCAAATGCGTCTGGAAATGCTTCCGGTCAGGCTCCGAGCTTCAGGTCTTTCCCTGCAGATGATGATCTTGCCATTCGCAGTGGCCGTTCATTCCCTGGAGCCCGAAGCTTTGCTCCAGAGCCCAGACCGAGTCCAACGTTCCCTTGCCAGATTTCTTACGATACCCGTACTGTTCCCGCAGGAAAGGGGCCATCAAGATGGTACGATGCCATGCTTGGCCGATCCAACCTGATCGGCAATGACGCCAGTGCACCGATTCTTCACAGCGAGACTGGCACTTTCACTTTGGCCCCGAATCCGAGCGTAACTGCTACGCTCCGTCCCACTGCGGTGAACAATTCTGCGCCACCGATGCCCACTTTCAATGCCAGAACATCTGCTCCTGCTCCGAGTTCTGCACCGTCCGGCTTCGGAGGGATGCCCGCGCAAGGCGGAAGTGATGGTCCCCCCGGAGGTGACGGCCCCAACGATAACGGGGGTGCATATGGTGGTGGTTTCGGTGGACACGGATTCGGCTCTGGCTTTGGTGGCGGAGGAGGTCCGCCTGATGGTCCACCCGGTGGCCCACCTAGTGGCCCGCCCAGTGGTCCGCCTGGAGGCCCGCCTGGAGGCGATGGTCCTCCCGGAGGCGGTGGCCCGCCTGACGGTGGCCTTGATCCTCCGAGCATGCGACCTTCTGGTCGACCGAATGGAGGTGATACCTTCCAGTGCGAACGATGCACTGGCACCTTCCCGACGTCTCTCAGGCGATTGTGCATCTCTTGCCGATTTTCATGCTGCAAAGGGTGCTGCCGAGATCCACTGAGGATTTGCCTCGTGTGTCTTGAGAGACAAACCGGAAACCCGCCCGGCCCCAACGATACGGGGTTCGGTGGGCCCAAGGGCGATGGATCACTGAGCGATGCAAAGAAGGCGAAATGCAAGTCCTTCCGGCTCGATGCAGAGCCTGAGCCCGCTCAGTTGCGCCGATGGATCGTCGATATGAAAGAGCGAGTTGCCAATGCATTCGCCTACGATCCTGCCTATGCCCTCTCATGGGTTGAGATCCCAGATGGCACTCGATACGAGGATCTGCTTGAAGAGTGCAAATACGGGATGCTCGAGAACGAATGCAACTCAGCTTTCCGAGAATGCGTTCGATCCATTGCTCTGAAGAACAAGATCCAAACCGAAACCGAGCGCATGCATACGATTAACCGGCGACTCGGGAGTAGGCAAATCTTGTGGCTATTGTACGATTTCCTCCGGCCGCACGTCACTGGCGATTCGACCTTTAAGCTTGTCGATCTCATGAAGACCACCATTGATCGGTTCACTCATGGATCTGAGCAAGAGAGGCTTGAAGCGTTCTCCAACAGATGGGATCACGTTCTTGCCGGCATTTCTGTCGATCGCCCAGAAGATCCTGTCCTCTGCGCTCTGTTCTATGAGCAGGTTCGGGAGTTTAAGTGTCTCGAGCTCGATATGCAATTGTGGGACAGAGATGTGTCTGTGCGAAATTACGCATACTTGCGGACCGTCTGCGTTAACGCGATTACCACGTGGCGCCGGCGGCGCAACCAAGAGAAGATGTACACTGCCACACGATCCTCCTCTGCGCAGAGGCGATATGCTGCGCCCGCGCACGGCAGCCCACGAAGATCATACTCGAGGGGCAAGAGGGGATCGAGGTCGCCTGGGCACCGCGACTCCCGGAGAGGAAGCCCTCGCCGGAGAGGATCGCCAAGACGCACATCGCCCAGACGGTCGTCCCCGAGGCGAGGCTCGCCAAGGCGGTACTCGCAAAGCCCTGGGAGGGCAGCTCCTGCCCCTCCCCGACGATCCCCGTCACGATCACCACGGGGACGCGATCTCTGCTACGATTTCAAGAAAGGCAGATGCACGCGAGGAAGCGCCTGCAAATTCTCCCATAATCTTAAGGGCAGAAGCTCCTCGCCGAAAGGGTTCCCGCCAAGATCCCAGTCACCGATATCAAAGGAGTCTGGCATATGCTTCTATTACGCACGAGGCACCTGTACC